TAAAGCTAGAAGAAATTATTAACTTAATCATTTGGGTCGATCCGAATTTTACATGAAGGAAAATGATTCTATTTCTAAAAGCTTCAAGCATAATCTTTCAAATTGTGCTAGCAGTTGTTTTTTTACCTTTCGAAACATTTGCTGCTGACAAAAAAATTGTTTAAATAGAGATAGTTTGGAGCAATTTCATTATATTAATCGACATGATACAGAAGAATATCCATTTAAAATAAATTTTGCATGATTTTGCACAAAATAAATTTAAATTTATCATGAGAATCGGAGCCTTTATAAGGTGCTCGAGGCATGANAGAAAACCGTTTATAGGTTTTATTCTTCATTCATACAACCTTACATAATTTTAAAGTATACACGTATCACCTGCATTCATTTGGGGTGGTTCTTTACGAACCAGAGCCCATTCCACTTATACAAAATAAAAAATAATTAAATAAATAAATAAATAAATAAATAAACTGTTTATTATACTGGACAATTAAAATTAAATTAATTTTAAGAGGCTACAAATATTAAAAAGTAACTAAAAAATATTTAACTAATCCAGTATAAAAGGTCATACATCCAAACTATTCCGTCCAGTGGCTTTAGGAATAGTTTATCATAGTTAGTTCCTACCTTGAAAAAATCAGAGCTTATTCTTAAAACAGAAAAATTAAATAAAAATTAAAAATTAATGTACCAAGTTTTTTAAGATTTTTTTAAAATAGAAATTAAGAAATGAACTAGGAAAATGGCTATTAATTAAATCGTTTTTATATATATCAGTATCTAATAAAAACTCGTTATAGTTAGAATTATTTCTGTAAGATCTATGAATTTGATTGGCAATAATATTAGAAAAAACCTTATTGGCTAAGTTAGAGTTAAAATCTATGCATTTTTTAACTGGAAATTTAAAATCATTTCTTTTGTCAAAAAGTTTAAATGTAATATTTTTATCTACAATAATATTAAGAGTCAAATCTGAAAAATTTGTTTGCAATTGAAAAACAACTCATTGAAAAACAAGCTTTTTTTGCTACTTGTATCTTATCATATTAAAATGTCACATGCATGAATATATAAATTTTGAATCTTTGTCGCCCACGTTACCTTTCCTATTGCATGGTGGAATTCACCTATAAAATATAAAATTACTTAATAACATTTTGGGTGTTTAAACGTTTCACTAAATATCAAGACAAATCAAACACGAAAAATTAATTATCTTAATCGAATATATGATCTAAAATGTAAATTACTTAATTTATTATTCGACATTTTGGAAATGCAAATACCATTGTTTGTTATATTGAGTTATGTTTTTACTACGCTTACAGCAATGTGTCAAAAAATTATAATAAAACTCTATTAGGTCTTTAAGAGATAATTCAATCTGAATTAATTCTGAATATTAAGTTTGAAGAGCAAGTTTCTTTTTCTCTTCTAAAATAGCCCTAAGTTATCGTAAATGTGTACGTACGATGTATTTCAAAAAATAATAATTTTTGATTTTTGTAAATTCATTATATCGGCGACATTCAACTTTATAAGATTTGGCTTTTTTTTTCTTCATGCAAAATCATGAAGAAAAAAAAAACCAAAATAATATCAATGCATTTAGTCTTCATGAAGTATTAGTGATAAATGTTTTTTTTTTATCCATTCAAAATAAATGCTTGAAAAGTCTTACTTTTTAAATGATACGTTTGGAATAAACCGCCAAATACTTCAAATGTAAAATGTGTTTTGAACCTCTTTTTGTTAGATTTATTCCTCCACTTCTAAACGGAATCATGGATACATATTTTTTTTTATTTTTGGATGTGTTTAGGGGAGAAAAATGTGAGATAGAAGCTGGAACATTCGGGAAATAAATAAAATAATTCTGAGAAAAGACAAAAAAAGAACATTTTTAATTTTTTTTTATCTCATTCATTTATTTATTTTTTATTTTATTTTTTCTTACAATGGAAGAGGGCATATCCCCCTTAATCTCCCTTGTTAGAAACTTTCAATTCTCTAGCCTTCGGAGGCAATGTGATGGTTAAAATATAATCTTCTCCCTCTCTTTGGAGGTATCCCAAATCTTGCAAGAAGGTTAAGAATAAGGTTAACTAAACGAAGGTTTCCAGACCACGCATCCCACCCACTAACGCTTTTTGTCAAATATGTGTTAAATATTTCTATTATTAAGGGAAAGGTAACCAGTTTTAGATTGATGTGATTGTGTGAAATGCTTATCATATTGCCACAACATGTTGTTGGTCTCGAAATTCGATTAACCTTAACCGCCTGACCATCAACGGCTGTTACGGTAATGATTTACTTTTATTTTTAACGAGAAGAAAAAGAGGGGCTAAAAGGTGAAGTTTGTAGAAAATAATTTTAAAAATTATGAACCCTTCCCTCCCAAAAAAGAAACTTTTTAGGGATTTTTTTCTACAAATTAAAAGGGCAAATACCTCTCAAATCTCTCTACTTGCTACAACTGCTAACATTTTTAATATTTTGCCTTCTTAAGCCCCCAAGCAGAAATTAAACTGCTAAAATAATACTGTTTCCTTCCTCCAAACCAAATTCGTGTTCATAAAATTATCGAAAAATGTGAACAAATTTTTACCGAAGCGTTTTCGCAATGATTTCGGTAAAATTTGCAATAAAATATCGTTTTATAATATGTGTTAAAATTTGGTAACTGTGGTAAAATTTGATAATTGCTCTATAATTAATTTTACCACAATTTTTTTCTCTTGATTTACTATTACATCATGTAAATAATAATGTATTTAGTGAGATATTCTAATTTATCAGGTTAAATTTGGTGACTTATCCACTAAAAAACTTTTTCATCATCCGTTAATCACAAAAACTTACAATCAGTCTTTATTTTCCTTTTATTCTGATATCGAAATAAGCCTGTTTCGACTGGTTTAATACGATATACCAAATAGCATAAATTAAAATGTTAGTATAAAAGAAAAGAGGAACGAAGTTTTACCGTAAGACGAGATGTTCGATAGACCATTTGTAATCAGTAATTATTACCTTTTATCCAAGCTAGTGACAACTTGTTCGATTAAAATGGAAAAGTTCATGCTCGACTTGTTAATTCAAAGAAAAGGCTGACACGAGAGAAGTAAATCTTTAAGGAAAGAATGTGGTCTGCAACTAAGCAACTTTGCAGGTAAAAATAGTTCAAGTAATTATCGGAAAAGTTATAATTCTGTTTTTTCAATTTCGCACAAGCAAATGACCACGTTACAAAAATTCTTATATCAGAAGCAAGTTTTAAAGATTTCTTGCTCCCAAAATTGGAATACTCGGTTTATAATTTGGAGCAAAGTTAACTTTCAATCAAACGAATAGCTTTCCATTTTGACTTAACTTATTTGTCTTGATTCAAGCCTTTTTGTGGAAGATGTAACAGTGAACATGTAGTACACAAAAAAATAAACCACTTTGACTAACTTTTCATCTAATGAGCGGATAATGTTCGGGAATTCAATCATATTTGGTTCGAGAGGTGATTTAAAATATACTAATTAATTGTAATATCAATAATAAGTAAAATCACGAAATCAGACATAAAAATTGCAAATTTAACACAATTACACGAGCAATCCCACCAATAATCTGTCATGTGATTCATGCAAATTAGACAATGTTTTGGCTTAAAAAATAAAAAAAACATTTTGTTACTTTGTTTTTGTAGGGCTTTTTTCTAAAATACATTTTTACTAAATAGGAATATAAATACGTTCACACGTATTTATAAAAAAACAATAAACTGTATAACAATTAACTACAATGTTTGACAATTGTGAGGTGTAATTACCCTCATAGTTAATAAATTAAAAGCCTTTTTGGAAAAAAGAGTTTTTTTTTTTAATTTATTTTAAAGTCTGCGAAGCGGCTGGATATTTAAATTTTGCTTTTTAATAATTTTCGCAAAACTTGATAAACGCAATTCTTATATATAAAGTTAGTTATATATACTTATTATAATTTGTTTATATTAATTTCAAATAAAGTTTCAGTTTTAGTGCCTGCCTTATAACTAAAAAATTAAAAAAATTCAACTTAACTAACGCGATTTGAAAAATTAATTTTACCGACATTATATGAGTGCTTTCAGAAATGGTGCCCTCTTTACTCCACTACAGATTATGAGTGATAATATACTTAAAAATGAGGAGCCTAAATTTCATTTCAGTCTTTCTAGCCGTTTTTTATTTTTATTAGAGTTTTCCTGTAAATGTAAAATACAATTGAAAATTTAAGGAATGAATAGTACATTTGTCATAGTAATAGTTAAAAGCCATGACATAATAAGCATTGCGATGAAAGAGTCAGGAAATTTTTTCCTAAATATTATTCGTAATACGCAATTTCCCACCTTTTGATAAAACTTTCTCACAAACAAACGTTTGAAAATCGATATATATATATATATACATATATATATATATATATATATATATGTACTATTCTNATTTTCAATTTAATATATATGCCTATCTAACCCAAAGAAGTATCTGTATTAATTTGACACACATTGCAATGGCTAATTATGAAAGTCATAGAAAGTCTTTGAAAGAAGATTTAGAAAGATGGTTTTTGATAAAATTTAAGTACATTGAGTTTATGCGCATGAAATGTAATCCCCCATTTAAATAGTGTACATTTAATACCGATAGCCTATGTGTTTAAACTTTCGGGATTGGTGTTGGTTGCATTGATCGATTTGGTGCCCAAAAAATCATTTTTTTGTTTAATTATTCATTTGAGAAACAATATTCTGCATTTATGCTATTTGTGATCAACATATTAATGAAATGAAAGAATGTGAGTTACTTTATCATAATTCATATGGTAAATATAGTAAGAAAGTAATAATAAACTCGCTTATAAATATTAAAGTTAATGATGTGCTTTGAAAATCCCTTTCTCTTATTTGCAGATACTGGAGACAATTAAAAAATTTTAGTTAGTCTTACTTGAAATAAAGCTCATCGGCGTTTCTGGTAAAGAATGGGACACTATATGTAATTTGCCACTTGGTGGTGAAATTACAATCGATGTAGGGTGAAGTCCAATAGCCATCCTCTGTTGTTACGACTAGATCAGTGCCATTTCCGACTTGACCAAAAAGCTCTGAATAGTTTCCTGTTTCCAGAACCCAGAACCAATCGTTGCCTGACCATCGATCCAGAGATGAACTTCCTAGATTTTGTGTTCTAATCGACCCATCGTTTCTTCTGTTGGTGAACGGTATAAAGAAATCGCCTGAATCCGATGTCAGGACAATGCTACTGCTTGTCAGTGAAGGATCACTTTCCACGTTAGCTTTTACCAATGAATAGAAGAAAAGATGATTAATCTAGAATGAAAGAGAAGACACTGTTAAATAAATAAAAATATGTTTTATTCTTTAAGTGTAACTAGTAGTTAACTATTTTTACTTTAACATAAACATCATTGCTCAAATTATTATTTCGATACATCCCAATATATCCACTTAAAAGAGAATTACTATTTCTATAACAATTCGTAGTTCCAAAAAACAATGCCCGCTATAAAATTCAACACTGTTTCCAAATACTTTTAGATATAAAATTATATGAAGTAATAATAAAAACATATGTACTGCTAGAATTGTTTATTGGTTAAAAGCTTTAAAAAATTTGAGAATAAATCTTAGTTCTTTTCCTTCATTCTTTGAAAAATGAAGTAAATATGGTGTGTCATAGAAACTAACCAACTGAAAAATGGGCTATACAAAAACTTATAAAAACCCAAATAACAATTATTAATTGCTATTTTTATTTTAAAAAAATCATATTTAATGCAGATTCTTGAACTTTTTTCGACTTTTTTTTTTGCTTGATAAAATAGTAAAAAATCATTATATCATCGTCATGAAAATTATTTTTTTATGCTTTCAGCCTTACTTCTAAATTATAAGATGAAATGGGCTTGTTTCTTGTTACTCTCCTTTAAGTTTCTTTTATACTCTGTAATAAGAATCATAAAAAATTTTCATAGATAAAAGCATGCATATTCATTTTTTAAGGATAACAGTAGAACTAATTTAACTTTTTTCTAATCAGCTACTTAAGATTAAAACAATATATATTTTAGTTTTTTTAATTCGTATTTATAGTACGTATTTAATATCATCTCAGTTGACGAACAATCTATTCATCTGAGGGGATGTGCTACTCTTTGCCGTAACCTTATAATTCTGAGTTGAGTTTAACTCTAGAAGCAAGAATGTATCAGGACAATCTCATCATTTATTTATTAGTAAACAACTCTAGCTTTTTATTAGATCGGTATAAATAAGTATCGATATGAAACTGCTTGACAACACTGACTCAATAAAAATTAAGGTCTTCGTGCTAATGAAGTTTTAAAAAAAATTGTGTTGTGTATTATGTTAGTAGAGTAGAAGTTGTTTATAGATTTGGAGATTATGATGATGGAGTTTTGGAGTTTACAGATTTGGAGATTCTTAAGTAAAAAAAAATCTTTATTTCTTTTTTTTAAACAGATTGTGTATTTTTGCTATCAGAAGGTAGATAAAATAATTATTGCAACTTTCAGAGAATCGGTAATCACTATTTTGCATTGTTGATGCTGACGTATGCCAGTTAAGGCAAAGAGGTGCGATTGTTCTTGTTTTTCCAGTAGCGCCATCTATGGCCAAGAATTTGACATTTGTTACACCCATACGTCACACCCGTTTATAGGGCGGACCCATTCATACATATATTCATTCATCCACAGATCGTAATTTTGACCTGAATCAGAGAACGATCAATCTCCAATCCAGTACCCCCAGAGGTTTTGATTTGTTATATGAACATGGAGGACTTTACCACTCGACAGATTTAACGTGCATCAGTCATTTATTTTACATTATTATTTAATGTACCCCCTCCCCCACCTTCGTTTTTTTCTCAAAATTGTCCCGGGTTCAGTTTTGTTGAAATAGGCAAATTTAACTTATTAGGTAAATTTAACTCCAGTTTTCCGACCCTTGGATTGGCGCAATCTGGAAAATGTGGTCATGATATTTAGTTCAGTCGGAAAATCCAATTAAATTTTTGAATAATTAACGCTATTTTTACACTGAAAAAAAGTATGGTCAAATTTACAAGAATATGGTAAATTTTACCGTGTTTCTGGCTCTATGTGAACACCAAAAATAGTAATTTTTAACGAAGCGCTTTAGTAACGATTCCGGTAAAATAGACAATAAAATATGGTTTTATAATTTGCGATAAAATTTAGAAATTTATCATGATACCTTAGAGCAAAAGTTCCCAAAAGGTGTTCTGTAGAGCCCTAGGATTCCGTGGAAAAGTCACAGGGGTTCCGAGAATTAGGACTCTTTTAGCAAGTTACTATTTTGAAGCCCGTAATTATATCTTATCAATAATTCATTATTTCTTTAAGCTTTAGGAAATTATTAAATTATTTTTGAAAAATGCTAAAGGGAAAAATATATATATATA